AAACCAGCGAATTACTCTTTACTGGGTTCAGGGTAACCACAGTCACTTCTCAGCTTTTGAGGGTGTTCCCGCGATTTAACGGTTGCGGTAGTTCTACATTTCAGAAACAGAGGTGAGGAAGTAATTTCTCTATCGCACGGCATGAAATTCTGAGTGGCTTGCAAAAGCAGTTGCAACGTTCAAGACAAAGTTCCCCTGGATTTTATTTTTATTCAGTTTACCTTTTTACTGGGCACTTTTCAAACCTTTTACGGGACAGTGCTATTTACTGTGTTAATATTTTCCTACCTGTGGTATTCATAGTGCAGTTTCATCACGCTGCCAAGGAAGTGTACACCAGTTATCTGTCACAGTGAATACAAGATGCCACAAAATCATCTTCCTGAAACTTCAGATATAATGAATCTAGGAAGAGTGGATTTGAGGTGGGAGTTAGGGGTCTACAGCATTGGAGTACACGTCTGCAAGGAAGCGACTGTTTTTGGCAAGCAGAGGACCTGTAGTTCCATCTATTTTCAGATCCTCATGTTCATTGGGCAAGATTAAAGTTGTGGTTATACAGAATCAATCAAGGGTTTTTCTGTGCTGAGTGAAACCCAGAAGAAAAGGGAAGGGTTGGGAGAAACAGCTAGTTTGAAACTCCTTTTCAGAAAGAGCAATGCAAACACCCTTACGAATCTGGTGATACTGCAAGCGTGTAGGTTGTCCGTCCACTTCTTACTGATAGCAGGCGAATGGTAACTGAAGTAGCTGTTCAGATTTGTCCCCTAGCTGTGCTGAACTGCCCACAGATAACGGCACGTTTAAGCTTTTCTCATCAGAGATTCAGCCCCCAGTGTTTTAATTAAACTTCTGTATGTTCGGGTTTCGTGTGGGGGTTGTGTTTGCAGGTCATTGTATGTGAAACCTGGAACTGTAGAAATGTATAAGAATTAAAACAACGTTTTAATGAACTTTCGGAGAGTTTACCCTGAACGTCTCAGAATATGCCATGCTGTCTTTGCTCTTCAAATTTACAACTTCTCAGTGTAAAGAATAAAATATATATAAGTGGACTGATAAACATTAGCTCAGTGGAGCTCTATTAATTCGGTAGTGAAGGAAAGATAATTGCCTAATGGTAAAATTCAACAGACTGTCTTATAGTCCTAACATGGGAGTATAACACATTCTTTGCTTATTTTTAATATTTTTAAATTATTGTAATGGAGAGATTACCAATTTTCTTTCAGCTACTGCGTGCATCAATCTTTACGTATTTAAGTAAGTAGTATGGTGGGTTGCGGTTGTTTTCAGAATAGGAAACTTTTCAATTGTGCTTCATTTTATTTCATAGCCAAAGTGAAAGAGAGGAATTTGAAACAGAATTCAAACAGAAATATGAACGCGAAAAGATTCTGCTAACAGAGGAAAACAAAAAACTTTCAAATGAACTTGATAAGGTGAGTGTTGATTAGCTGAGTCTTGAGTTTACAAGAATGCTGTTTAGCGCTACTGTGGTATTAAGAGTTAATAACTCTTAATTGGCAGCGGAATTTAAGAATATGCAGGAAGTTTTGATTAATATTTGATTTAAATAGAGAATTTTATTAATTGATCTTTTGCCCGTTCGTACGTGCCTCTGAATTTGAGAATGTGTACACGTATTTGTATTTGTGTGTGTGTATATGTGGGAATTCAGTTACATGGTCTTACAGTTTGATAGGATGAACTCTTGACACTATCTTCAGCCAGACAAAAGAGGGGTTCCCTGTATGACCCAAATATAAAAATGTATGGTTAATGATGTGATTGCATAGAACGTATTTGCATGTCGATTACTGTGAAATAGCAGGGCCCTTTGTGCCTGGTGAGATTAAGTGTTGCTTTGAGATATTAAAAAAAAATACAAATGATAAAGCAGTTAAATTGAGGATCGTATTGAGTAAGGAATAAGTATATTTCATGCATTGAGGTTATCTTTTTATTGTTTATTTTGACTGGTTATTCAAGTTCATTATGGATTGGCCATGTCTTGCTAAACTTGTCTCTCCTTTCTTCAATGCATTATTTTTTTTTATATGTGATGAAAGTATGGTGTTTTTTAAAGTAAGCGTGTTTGCATGTCAGTGTTCAAATTGAAGTATATTTTCATACCAGTATAAGCATTTATGTAAGCATAGTTCAAGAATGGTAAGCAGACCAGTCACTTTGATAGCTTTTCTGCTTTGTCGTTTTCTTTTTCTTTTGCAATTTGCTAAGCTTTGTATTTGTCTTGTCAAATTGCGTTTAATAAATAGGCCTATTTACATGATAAACCCATTTAAATGATAAGTATGTAGTGGAGTAATCGTATTAGGAGTAAAAAGGGCAGAATAGACGAAAAAATTGGTATTTTTGCATCGTTTTGATTTGTTAATGTATTTCAGTGCTAGAAGAAGCTTTTCGTATGAAATGCGTTCCCTTAAGCAGGCCTTCCTGAAAGGTCTGTCTGATCTCTGGTTCCCATTATGACTTTGTGAATAATTATTTAGCATAATAGAGGCTTAGTCCCCACTACCGACCCAGGTTAGCTATTGCTTTTGTCTTGCAGAATGTACGTGTATGAATGACAGCTTTGTGAATGCGAGTGAGGTTAATTGCTGGGTATGCTATATTGTACTTACAGATGTGCCTTTAATTTCAATTTTCCTGTCTGCAAGTGAGTAAAATGAAAAAGAGGGGAATGTGAGACACCTGGAGGCTCTCAGTACTGACTCACAGCTGTATCCGTTAAGCCTCTCATTCCCCATAGTTACTAAACAAGGGAGAGAGTCGGCTATTTCATCTGAGCTATAAAATTTGTTGTGCTCCAGCTTTGCACTTTTAATGTAATTTTTTTCAATATAGAGCGTTCCATCTCTATACTGTGCAACACACAAACCTTATAAGAACTGTAGAGCTATTTAGAGACGTTTTCAGGAAACTAATTATTTTCAGTAAAATATATTCCAGTCCTTAAAAAAGGCCTTTCGCAAGAAGAAGAAATGTTGGCTTTTATGGTTACATGGCATTTATTGTGATGGGTGTACCAATTTTAATGCGGATGCACAAAGTGTGTGTGTGTGACTTTGAGTCAGTAAGGTGACGTCACGGGAAGTTGTGTGTTTAACAAGTCGTTTAAATTCTCATTCAGCTCACCACCATGTTTGAGAGGCTAAGTATGAACAACCGGCAGCTGGAAGAAGAGATGAGGGACTTGGCTGATAAGAAGGAGTCTGTGGCCCACTGGGAGGCCCAGATCACTGAGATCATCCAGTGGTGAGTCCTCTGCAATAATGTCATTGCAGAAGCCCGTGGTAAAGGCCAGTATGTGGTAGAGCTGTTGTGAATTTTGCATCTGCAACGTGGCACTTGCAGGTGCTTACACCCATCCAGGATTCTGCCGTATTTTTCAAATTAGTATTTTTGCCTGAGGTTTTAATAATATCCAAAGGTAGAAAACAGCATTGCTCCTTAAGAGCGAAAGCGTCTTTGACTGTACAACTATTTTAGGGGTGAAAGACTTTTGCAGCCTTTGGGTGTGCCTTGTGGCTTGGGAAGAATGCTGCGGGGAGTCACGCGCTGCCCTCGCCCTCCGGAGGAGCAGCCTGGGAAGAGCGAGCAGCGGCGGGCAGTAGTCAGGTCTCCAACAGCGAGCAGCGGCAGGCAGTAGTCGGGTCTCAGGATTAGCTCCTGTCGTCTGCTCCGCGCGTGGCCCAACAACACCCAGCTAGCGCAGCGCTCGTGGTTCCTACAAGGAGCGCAAACAAAATTGCAGTCAAGTGACATCGGCAGTACTACTTCTGTTAAATAGTGCCGTTATGCTTATAAGGGTTTCTATCTATTTTAATAAACAAATTGAGAAAAGAATAACAAGCTGAAAATATCCCGAGAGATGATTGCTTTTTCTAGGCGGCCTTTTTTTTTTTTCTTTCTCTCTCCATCCCTGTTTCTGCCCATCCTTTTTTATGGCCCAGTGTAGATTGTTCGCTTCTGGGACGATTTCATAATCATACACAAATCTTTCTTTTTGGTTTACTATTTGATTTTTTTTCCCCCCTCATTTTTCCTGTCACATATTAGCTAAATAATCTAGCTTGTTGCATCCAAGCAAAAATGGGAAACATTTTTTAATGAAACCTAGTTTGACATTGCTCTAACGGCAGTATAATGTTGTCCAAATATGGAGAAGGTTTTGTCTTTTGAATAAAACTACTTGATGCACATCAAGAAAGAAAGGCTGTGCTCTAAGTTTCTGGAAGTGGTTTAAACAGTGTTTGTTACATAAAATTATGTAGCTCCAGTATGTGTTAGCACGTGCATACTGTCTCAATACGTTGTATTCGTAGTAGAGGTTAAAATTTTAAAGGGGCTAATTTGTGCACGTTCCTTTTAAATCTTTTCTCTCGTTCAACTAACGTAAGTTTAGTAGACTGCCTGCATCACTGAATTAAGAAAAATACACTGAGGCTGTTTAAAAGACGAGATAATTCGTAGCTGATCAGAACTTTATTTATTCAGAAAAAAATATCAAGATAACAAGAAAGACAAGTCTGTTATTTCACATTCCATATTGCTGAGGACTTTTTTGTTTACTTTAAGGAAATGCTTATATATCCTAATGCACCTAGGTAACTAAATGCGGTTTTTCTGATTTACGTGTGGAAGTGCTCCTAAAATTTGGAAGTTCTGGAAAAAGCCAAGTCAGCCTTAGTTGTGGATTGTTTTACTTGACACTGTGTTAAAATATACCAACAGCTATTAGGAAAGCCCCTTCTCCAATTTATATGAAGGTTTGATATTTTAAGAATGTACTCCTGATGTGGTTCAGATAGACGATGAAAGTATCTTGCATGTAGTCAGACATGTCGGAGGGGAGGGGAAGAAGGTTTGGGATTGGGGTTTTTGTTATCTCTAAGGATACTTAACGAAAAAACGCCTGGAACATGCAAGTCTGTAACTTTTGGAACTAAAGATACCACTTTTGCTCATCTTTTTTATTATGATAGAGGACTAAGAACTCAAGAATTATGTTAAAAAAGTGTTCTCGGCGAGCATTAAGGAGACCAAAACTGTAACCAAGGCAGATATTTTTCTAATTGCTGTACACGTCTCATTTTTCTCCTAACTTCTGTCTTCCTATGTTAAATTTTGTTCAGCGTTGTGAAGGCATATCGTGGTTCAAATTTTTTTCAATTTGTGTTTAAATTTTCTTTTTGTTGCCCAGACAATCCGGTAGTTCCATCCGCTATCCGTTGAGTTCAGCGCTGCATATTAAAACTAGGTTTTTGTTTGGGGATTTCTTGCTATTCAACAAGGGGCACTATATTAAATATTTTAAACATCTACAACAGTGATAAAACATTATAAAAGAAAAAAATATTAATTTAAAGGAGACTCTTCTTATTTAAGCAGTTACAAGCCCATGTTTTCTAAAGAAAAACACGCAATTTAAATCCACACCTGTTCACATCCTCTTTATGATACCGTAATGCCTTAGACCTGACAAATTAGGGTGGAACTTGTAGGCTCCCTCTCCAAACCTAACAGATTTTCCTGTACAATATTATTTTAATGTTGTTATATTTTGGGAGCATCCTTTCTTCTACTTACAAGTGATTTTAGGCTACCATCTCTTTTTAGTGCTATGACTCTTGAAGGATAGGGAATTGTAGATGAAATAAACTCGCTGGCTTTGAAAACGGTTTGCTCAGCTCCCTGTGATGGTTCTGGGGGTTATTCTAGCCCTGTTTTAAGTAGCAGAAGCCTGAGGAGTTTATTTGCTTTTGAGTGCTTTGTCATAGTCTACTAGATCTCTTTCTCAGGAAATCTTCCCCATTGTTTGAGTCCACGTTTGGGGTTAAGATCATTACTTCATTCACAGCGCATAACTCCTTGAGTCCTTCTAAACTATTCTTTCTTTTAGTTTGTATAACCTACAAGTAATTGGAATGGCTTACCACGTTCTCCTTAGCCTCTTAGCTGCTTTCTCATTGTGCTCTTTCGCATCTTGTTTATGGCCAACGTCCAGAAGCTTTTTGATTTTTTTGCTATTGTTATCTCAAGAGGCCATAAACATAGCCAACTTTTTAATATATACTTTAATCAGAGTTTCATTGCAAATACTAATGTGGTAGCAACAGACTCTCACAGATCATTCAGCCTTAATGGAGCTATTAGATTGACAAGCTTATATTATCCAAACTGCTCATCATTCCTTGACAAGAATAAGAAATACTGAGGCTTATATAGTCAGCTATAAATTTTCCTATGGCAGATGGGGAAGAGAGAGATTCGTTGCATATTAGGTTAATGCAGTCACTGTAAAAATGAGTCTTTTAAGTAGCCGTGGTACTGTATTTCAGATCTGTTGCAGAAAGGAGGTTGATGGAAATCTTTGGTAGTGATTCCCAGAGTACTGGGCAAGAACCTTAACTTATTAGCCTCTCTGAGTGGGATTCATTTAACTTAATTTTCAAACGTTATGGTCCTGTGGTAAACAGCTAAGATAAAATAGATGACTAGTTGTATAGAAGTGTCTGTTTCTCTCCATCGATTGTAAAGGAAGCTTAGACGCCTAGATGGAATGAAGAATTCTGTATCATTGGGTATGCATAGATGGATGAGGTGAATCCTACCTCTTTTATCCACCCGTAGAGTGGACATCATGTTTCTGTTCGGCTGAGACCAGAAGCTGTTGATACTCGGAAGACTCAGCTACTATTCTCCTTGTAGTCTAGATGTCTTTCCAGCCAACTGTAGTGTGGTTGATGTTTATTTTAATTATTGATTTTTCTGTCAAAAGAAAAAGAACTTCTGTGCTAAATCAAACGTTAACAAGTCCCAAAGTAATTATTTGCATTTTGAAACCTGGTTGCCCTCAGAAGAATGCACACACAAAGTGTGGGAAAGCCTTTACAGTATAATGGTACGTCAAATAACTAGCAAACCTTCTGGGGAAATTCGAGTGTAAGAAAGTCAGAACTTGAAAATTTCTGAGATATGTTGTGTTTGAGGTGAGAATAATCAGAAGTTAATTATCTATAGAATGGAAATTCTGGAGGTATGGGGGAAGTTTCAGGGTGTGGGAGCAGAAGGAAACGTTGAGAATTTTTACAGGAAGAGTTTTATAGATTTTGTTTGGGAAGAGAGGGGAGAAAAACAAAGTTGGAGCTTTTAAGCATAGTTATATGAAGATAGAAATTTTAAAGCTTTGAGTTTTTACAACAGAATTGGGAGTCATGGGCCTCAGGCTTTTCGGCGTTTTTTTTAAATCTGGTGAGATGTAGCTTGGCATAGGATCCAAGGGCTTCAGGACCCCTCCTCGTCAGCAAAAGTTCTCTAGTCCTCTGGCTTCATTTTATGTTGTGGAACTATCCGAGATGCTGAGACCCAGGAAATCTGATTTTCATAGCAGCATGGCAAACAAAATGCCAGGTATTTGTCAATGGCTATTTGAAGTTTATCGGGATGTTGGTCATTTTTCATGCCGTTTTATTGGGGGGAGGTAATAGATGGAGGGATTATAATTCTCAACAGCTCCAACTAAGAGGGGACATTTAATCAGACAGGAATTTGTACTATATCGCTGTTTTTAGGCGCTCTGTAGTTACTGAACTAACCTTCTAAGAGACTTCAGCTATGCATGAAAACAGAAGGGTTAACCTATCTAAATTTTGAGGAGAGAAGTAAGTGCCTAAAGAACTTTTCTTTCTTAGGTCTTTTGCTGTGTTTATGAGGGTTCTGCAAAGAGAAGCAAGGAAGGAAACGTTAATAAGAGTAGCTTTACCATTGTTACTTTATCTCTTAAAAGAAACCCAAAGAAACAAAGAACACCCAGCAAAACGATAACAAAACAAAAAGCTCCAAGAACTGCTAGGTTCATAATGATGTTTAATCCATATAGGTATGGTTATCAAGAGAATGTTGCCATCTAGTGGGTGGCAAACCTATACCTAAGTTGTACTAACTGCTTGTATTTGCCATTTTTAGTAGTCTGAAGGGTTTGCTTGAAGTAAGTATAGATTTTTGTTAAAAATTGCCTTTTATGTGCATTTTTATTTTCTATATTGAACATATTCTGTGAAACATCTCTGTGAGGTTTTGCATTTGCAGCTTTTCAGTGCTTAGAGCTTGAAAGCTCTGTGCATTATAAAACAAATACCTGGAGTGATTTCTTGTCCTCTATGAGGAAAGATACATAGGCCTTGATAAGTGTTGATAATGAAATTGGACACTTAAGAGTTTTTTCAACTTTAATTAGAAGAGTATTTAAAAAGGTGCTGACTTATTTTTAATCCAACATTGTCCCTTTCTTCTGCAAAGATTTGGATGTCATTAAAAATAGAGAAGATCGGAACGCTAACTTCTAAAATCTCTTTCCCCTTTTTGTACATCAAGAAAACTTACTTTGTCACTTTTAAACTATTCCTATTTTACATCATTTTCTTTTTATTATGCTTTGCATTGCACTCCTCTCAATGCGTTTTGTGCTAATTTTCACATATTTCCCGTCTTCTAATTTTCGTAGCAATCTCATACTTTCAGTGGCTTGTGTTTGAGTATATGACAAAATCTTCTTCATGTGCTAGTCAAAATGTGTTTCATCCAGAATGTTAAGGAGGAAAAAAAAAAAAAAAGTGTATACGATGCTTTCATTGTGTTCTGGTATATCTTGGGGGGAAAAAATGACTCATTCATATTAAAATTCTCATTGTCTTTAATAGAATCAGGACATGGTTCTCCTCTAGCTCCCTCCCCACCCCTTGTAAGCAGGAGGCAGAGAAGGTAAAGCCCAAAATATAAAAAAAGGGGCTTAGTTTTTTATTTCAGGTGGGTGATCTGTGGCGAATGGTCACTAGGGTCACATTAGTCTCCTCTATATTAAAGCAATTTTCCTTCTTTAAGTCTTAAAAGTCCACAGCCAGAAGTCACTGCAGCCTGCAGATGTTTAGGGCATGGCTTTTGCATCATGATCTTGCCAAAGGGCAGTATGATAAGAGTTTTCTGTTCCTCCTCTGTTCCTGTTGTGCTCTCTCTCTTTGCTGCTTCCTGGTTACTACCTATAAATCTTTATTGAAACATTACTCTTTTTTTTTTTTTTTAATTAATTAGTAGTAAACTTGCAAGTTACACCTTTTCCATATTCACTGTGTGTATGAACCCCATATCATCACCCAGAGAAACTTAAATTGCTTCATACGCCCTGAGGGGAAATCCCTTTCTGCAGAGGTCACTAAGAGACAAATTCATCATTCTGGAGAGCGCTCTCACCCCCGGGCCAGTGTCCTCAGCATTAACAGTTAGGAAGAAGGATCAGGAGACGGGAAGAAGTTAATTTGCATAAAGTAGAGCAACTATTTTCCGGCTTTCTTGGGATTTATTTAAAACTATTTAGGGATCATAACTTAGAGCGTAATTAAAACGTTTCTGTATTTGGAGTTGACAGAGGTTGTTGTGACTCACGCTGTGGCATCTTAGCCTACTGTTTTCTGAGACCTACTTACCTACAACTTGGGTATACTTCCGCGTTGCAAAACTGATTTTGCTCTGGTATGGATAAGCTGACTATATTCAGAGGCAGGCATGTAAAGTGATAGGAAAAGTGCTATTTTTTTTTTCCTTTTTTTTCTTTTAAAGGTTTTTCCTAAGCTACTAAGTTTTCCTTGAGGTAAAGTTTTTAGCAACTCTCTTTTCTATGTTAGTCCCTGAGACAAAGTAAAGAAAGGATCTAGTGCTGTGATAAATCAAAGAAAAGGTTTTCTTTTTAACTGATGATCAAAGAATCTGAAAAACAGACTTGCCTTTTCTTTGATGTCTTTACATCCAAAGAGCATGAATCGATAGAAAGAAAGTTTAGGGGATGAGAGCGTCTCACCTGGCTTACGCTGTTTAATACCATTAGAATTAGACTCTCCTTAATTTAATCACTATTTCTTGAAATAATGGCATCACTGTTCAATGACTAGTTCTCATGGCCAGTTGACACAGTAGCAAGAGAGCATTCAGAAAGACAGCCCCTATGTTGCAGTGTTATTTGGGTGGCCTAATTGTTAGTTATTGGATATAGCATTTGCTTTAATTCCTTCCCTAAAAATAGGTTTAATCCGAAAAGATTTCTTTGCCGCAATCTGAATTTCGGGTAACTGATGTTTATACTGAGATAATTCTTACTTAGATATTATTATTACTTACTTAGATATTATTATTATTACTTACTTAGATATGTAGCTCCTCTGTCTTTATTCGTGGTCTTAGTCATGCCTATTGTTTCATGGAGCTCTGCAAAGCAGCAAAGGGTTAGTTTTATATGGTTTTGTTTCTTTTTTCCTGTTCCCTTAGCTGTTTTGGTTTTGTATTCTGCTTTTTTCTGTTTCTAGTTGCTTCTTTGTTAACGGGGGTTCTGCTTTTTCTTTAAATTGTTTGGTTAAAATACTTGCTTTCTCCTACCGTAATTGTTTAGGGTGAGTGATGAAAAAGATGCTCGAGGTTACCTTCAAGCCTTGGCCTCCAAAATGACAGAAGAGCTAGAGGCCCTGAGGAACTCCAGTTTGGGTGCAAGAGCAACAGTAAGACTACAGCTCCATCTATCCGGAATTTTTGGTTTTGAAAAAACAGTAATTTGATAGTTTCAGCTCCAGTAATAATCTGTCTGTAGGGGCTGTGTTACTCAAAAGTTAAATTTCCTTCCCTTCTGAATAGCTGAATACCAAATTTATTATCAACTACTTAAAGAGCAAATCTTGATAAAGTGATTTTTATCTGTGATTTTATTTAGGTAGGTACTTTAAAATCTTAAATAAATTTGTTGAAAGGATATCTATACTTTGCATCACAGAAACCTTGAAATCTTTTACTTTGACAAAACGTGAACGTTCTTGCATGAGTCTCTACGTAACTATCACTTGAATGAACGAACATCAAAACTAGAATTCAAAGTCTCTTTCTTGCAAAGTCATCTTGCCTTTTTATTACTTGAGTTTAAAAATAATAATAATATTGCTCTCTGGGATTTTTCAGAGTGTTTTAGAACTGATGAGCTCTTATGTTAAGAACATGATAGACTGAGGAACATAATTCTTGAAGTTGATTATATTCTTCATTTGCTGCCTTCTTTCCCTTTGCTCTTTCTTCTTCCTCTTTTTATCCTTTATTAGGACATGCCCTGGAAGATGCGTCGCTTTGCAAAACTAGATATGTCAGCCAGATTGGAACTACAGTCAGCTCTCGATGCAGAAATCCGAGCTAAGCAGGCTATTCAAGATGAGTTGAATAAAGTCAAAGCTTCCTGTATCTCTACAGAGTGGTAAGACTGAATTGTTCTAAGCGGTTGTTGACTGTGATACTTTCCAGGAAGAGTCATCAAAGTACAATATTAACTATTTTGTCTGTCAGAAATGGATAATGAATGATATATCAGTTTCTTATATCCAAATGTGAAAAAAAGACCATATGTCTTTTTATTATATGATCAGCTGAACACTCTCTGTGAAAATTTGGGACGTGGAAGACTTTCAGGGGACGCTTAACTTTAATAATCTCTCTTAGTTGTTGTAACAAGTTCAAATACAGGCAGAGTTTGTTTTTATATCTTAACAACATATTATTTTCTATTCTGTTAATAGCTGCGCTGGGTTAGCTGATAAAAGTCAATTATTGCGTACTGATTTGCACAGTAATAAAATGTGCCTATGGAGGATTATGAATTCTTGTATTCTTGAGTAGGATAAATGGCTGAAGCAGGGGGTTAGTAGCAAGAAATTTCGTTTCTATGTCTCTAGCTTCAATCCAGCTCAAGTCAGAAGTTCCCCACAGTTGTTACTAAGGAAATCTCTTGGCACCCTATGAAAACAAATTAAGTGACATGAGTCCTTGTCGTAGCACCCACCATTGAAACTAGCTCCTGTTGTTTCCTTTGCTAATTTTGACAGAAAAGTCAAAAACAGAACGTGTGCTTTTGTCTGCCTGCAAGAGTATCCCTCAAATGAGAGTTTGAGGCGGGTTTAGGAATAAGCTTGCACTGCTGCTAACCACTGCATGTTCTACTGAAAAAGAAAGGCTTGAATTTCTCTGGCTGCTATTCTGTTTCCTCTTACAAGCCCTTAACTCAGTTGATTAAGCAAAGAGATTTTAATAGCTAAAATACAAAAAGACCATAAAATGCAAAATATGTACTGGGTGCATACTTCCCATGATGTGTGAAAATTTGAATTAAAATCAAGCATGGCAGATTTGCCATGAGGAGAAAATTGGTCCTTCGGAATACTGTGATAATAGTTACATTTCCAAATTGTGAATCCCATTGGGTTAGAGCGGCAGTGTTAGTCTTTTGAGTTGGTGCAGGTTGAAGTAGGCACTCAGACTGAGGTAGGATTTCTGAACCTTCTCTTTCATTCACACCCATTCTGTTCTCTTACAGCTTTCTCTACAAAAATGATTTTTACAGTAACATACCTGTCACGTTGCACAGTGTCTAAGCGCACAGATGGACAGTGCAAGGGGAGGAAAGGGCACCCAGCAGAGGAGGGGTAGGATGTGATACAGGAATTTCAAATACAAGCAAAATGATGAATTTCTTCTCTTAGCTGACTTATTTTGCAGCTTTGAGAAATCAGTTGGACAGAGCTGAGATTCGAGGATGTTACCTGTAAAATGGGAATACCTTGTCCACCTTACGTTGGCGTTTTTCAGGCCAGGAGACGCAGTGACAGGCAGTAGTGTTGTAGATCCTCTAAGAAGAGAATAAGTAGTGTTTGCTTTGATAGGCAAAGAGAAGTGCTGTAGAAATGCATAGCAGTCTTACTTGTCCGCCGTGAATCAGGAAGCACTGAAACAACTAAGTGGAATAACTGGGAAGAAAAATAGTTCAACATAATCTATTAGTATCACAGACACTGTGAATTAACAAATTTTAAAATCTGGTTTTAAGTTTAAAAATACATGTGGTCTTTTTTTCTCATTCCCAGGATACAGTCTCACGCAGTTACTTATAAATTAGAGACATGAGCCTACCTAAAGGGTAAACAGACAGTTAATTACTCATTCTGTTTTTTAAGATACCATACTAAACAGCTCCTGACAGATTTCTAAGTTCATTCTTTCGTTTGATGATGTCGTGCTTCGTTTGACTTGCAACTTGCTGGGCATTGATTTTAACTGAGCAGTAGTCCAAGTAACATGCAGAGATGGACAAAAGAGACTCGTATCACAGGTTCTCAGTATTTACATAGGGTTTTTGTTTGTATTCTTTTGAAGTAAATTGCAAGAATCTGAGAAGAAGAACATGGAACTGTTGACAGATATTGAAAGACTGAAAAAGGAGACAGAAGAGCTTAGATCAGAAAAGGGTATGGCAACTGATATCCAAGTAAATAAGAACGTATTTCACATTGGTGGGTACATCTTATCCATTAAGTGTGTCATCTTGCAAGTGAAATACGGCATATATGATACCGAGAGACTTTGGCATTCAAAGTGTGAGCACAAGTCTTGCATGGTAAGATGTACCCACAGCAGCTGTTTTTGCGCTTCTAATAAGTACTTATAATATTCTTCAGTTTTGTTGATATACGTGAACCAGTAAGATACTGTTTGGGTTGAAATTGCATTATTGTTATTTGGCCTGTGAATGGTGATTGACTACTGGAAAACTGTTAGAAATATAGGAGAATTTATAATTTTTTCCCCCTCTGTGATGGGTAAGGGTATTTTAGACTCCAATACCAATGGCTATATTCTTCATTTATCAACATTTGGGCCTATCTGCACTGAGAGACAACCACTTTGGAGGCACTCATAGCATTCACTGCTTTCTGGAATAGTTTCACTGATCGTCTTTGTGACCACTTAGTGAACAGTGTGGTCATATTAGCTTTGTTGTAGACGTAAGAGTATATCCTGGGATTTCTAGTGCATCTGTCCAGCAGTATTTAGCATTGTTGCTGGGAGGAGACTTTTTGGTAATTTTGAATTTAAAAAATCTTTGAGAGATGATTAATGGTTTGACTAATTCTTTTCAGTTCCCATGGTAGTAGCTGTTATATTGGTATCCTACAAGTCACAAGGGAATTCCAGTCATTTTTCAGGCCAAACTGAACCGTTTGAACTCCGAAGTTGCAAAACTCTGGCAACAATTGCTACATGGGGATGTCAGATATTGGTTCAGCCTTTACAACCTCATGGCATGTCAATCAACAATGTATTGCAATTAAGATTCATATGCTATATATAGGTCTCTGAGTGCTGGTTGGTTGGTAAAAGAATATAAGCCTGTACAGAGCACTCAGAAAGGACTGGCGCTGATTAGCCAGTACGATTGAGGGAATTGCTATTGATTTGTTTTGATGCTTAGCACTGGTATCAGGATTATACTTAATGGAGTTCTTGGAGAGGAACTCTTGGTAGCGTTTCCGTGATGATGCTTTGTCAGGTTTGGCTTTCACGTATAGATTCTTGAACTGTCTTAAATATTATGCATGACTACAGTCTTTTAAGTATTTGTAATTAATGTTTTGCCATGTGTTTTTTCCAGTGTTAAAACCTTGTTGTTTTTCTGGAAGTAGAGATAACAATTTAGTCACTTCTTTTAAAAAAAAAAATAAATAAATAAGAAGAAGAAGAAGAAGAAAAGGAAATACATGATTCCAAGAGAGGTTGATTGTTAGGCTTTTGCCAGAAGTAAATGAATATGATTCTACTGGAATTTTCTAAATATTTTGATAGAAACATACCTTAATCCAAAATCCTTATTATTATCATTATCCTAGATTGTTTCTTGTAAGTAGAAAGATATTAATGTTTGAATGATGAACCAAATACAGGATTCAACTGCAGTCAATGTGCGGTGGCAGAGTAACTTCCTATGTATGGAAATTAATTTCTAGGAAGGGACTGTTTAGATCAGTGCATGCATCCTTTGCTCTTGATAAATATACTCCACAAACCTCGCAGGGTGGAGAGAAAACACAAAAAATGATTCTTTTAAATAGACAGTAATCTGAGAATGGTTTTTAGTCTTCTAGTAGGGTTTCAGTGGAAAAAGGAAAAGGGTTCCTTATAACGTTTCATCTCGTTGACTGTGGGATTTATTTAGAGCAAGCAGGGTGATATTGCCAGTTAGAGCAAGATCCTAAATTTTTTGTAAAGAACAGATGAGCTGTGATTGCATCAGTCTTTGAGCTGCTGACGTTCCTGCAAGCTGTAGTCGTCATAGGTATATGTAATACATCTCTATTGTTCCGGAAGCTGGGGTTTGCATGCATGGGTGATTAAATATACCCACACGGGGACTTGAATTATGCCAAAAGAAGAGAGATCAGACAGAGCACATTCAAATAACACTCAAGTTACTCCAACCTCTGTGGCCTTGGAGAATGCAGGGCTCCCACTCTGCTCACTGGATGAAAACCAGTCGTTGGTGTAGCATGGCAGAGGCGTTTGAAGGATTTAACCAGGATTCTGTTAGTCTTAGACGTTCAAAACTGAGTGGAAGTGGATGGGCATAGAGCATCTGATTTCAGTCTTCCAACTGAGAGACGATATCATCCCCTTCAGACTCTGCATTCGGGGGGGTTCCCCTAGTAGTTGCTGGTTTGGTATTTCTTTCCTCAAATGTTGATGAAATCAGCAGTGGATCTGGGTCAAGGAACCCAGAATATGTTCAGATTTGGCGTGTCCCCCTAACAGCCTGCTCTCTATGTTTTCGTAGAACTAGGTTGTTTGCTGAAGTGGTCTTGTCATAGTAGATTAGCTAGAGGTGACCAGAGCGGGGATGACACCCGCTGGGTTAGTGTGTGTACCTGTATGTGATTCAACGCGTGTTGTAAACGAACCTGAGCACATTAGAAACCTGCCTCTTCTGTATAATGGACATGCACATACAGAAAATAAAAGTTGCATTCACATCACACGCATCCTGGTTTGGAAGAGGTTAATTAAACACATGCTGCTTGCTGAGAAGGTATATATATTAAAAAAAACAAAAAACAAAAAAAAAACCACTTTTATTCTGGGAAACAGATCAAAATTGACCACTCATTAAAAAATAATAGCTGAGGTCAATACCCAAAGCCTGATTCAGCACGGCAAAGGCCCTTCATGAAAAGGTCCTTTTTCTGTAGCTTAAAAACTTGCTGCTGTTTTCTAGGTGTAAAGCACCAAGACTCACAGAATTCTTTCTTGGCATTTTTGAATGCGCCTACCTCTGCTCTGGATCAATTTGAAGTAAGTGTACTACCACTTGAATTTTTTTGTTAGTGAATGGAAATGTTTAATCTTGCTGTTATATGCAGATTGTGTGCATATTTGCTTAGAGTTTGCTGCTGCATTTTATTCACATTTTCCATCTGTATTTGTGTATAATGATACGTGAGAATTGTTATTTCCAGTGTTGGGTCTCTTCTCTTGAATGCTAGTAATCAGAGTGAATTCGCTTTAAAATCTTGTATACAGAATTTCTCCCGTTTTCATAATGAACGTACAAAGCGGAGATGTTCAAATGGCCTTACTCTTTGCTCAGAAAAATGCTACATAATGCAAAGACCTATTTAGTAAAAATGAGAGGAAAAGTGTAAATAACTTTTGAATGCATTCCATAACTCATTGGTGCTGTATATTTATTAAGTTTTTTCATCATTTATTCATTTTACCCAAAGTTTTATTAAGTCCAGGTAATGACTGTTCACCACCTTCTTCCTCAGGTCCCATACACTTTAAAAAAAAAAAAAAAAAACTGTGTAATTCCTTTGTCACTTTTAGACGAAATACCAGTTTCGGTAGAAAAGCTGGAAGATAAAAAGTAAAATTAAACTACACAGTTTTCGTATCTTCTCCTTTTATTAAAAAGTAAGCAGTGCATCATTTTTCTCTTACAAAAGCAGCCGGGATGAAATACTGGTCATATTCACATTGATTACAAAACTCCAACTGAGTTCAGCGGGGACTAGACATCACCTTTACAGTTATACGTTAGCCTAAAATTTGCCCCTGTTTGTTTGGAGGTTTGGGGGGGGTTATAGAAGTTCATCATGCAGAACTATGAAAAAACCATAACCCCTGCTGTTATTAATCTTCCAAGATTTACTTTCTTTTCCTTGCATATTCGCTCTGATGAAATCCTCAAAGCTAATACCATTTTTTCATTTGCTCTTCAATGCTTTCTGTTACAAGTTATTTTTAATATAAAGATCCTGTTGGAATGTAGAAATATTATTTCCCTGAGTGAAGGCTGAAAAAACATTTGGTTTTATGGGGGTAGATAGTTATTTGTCCCTGGAAGAGGCAGTTAGCGAAAATTTTCTCGGAGGTAACTTTTACCGTTACTAGTTATTTACAGTCCTTTATTTTTGCACCTTTATTTTTACTGAACAGTTTTCTTCATCCATCTCTTTCTCTCCTTTTTTTTCTTTCCTGCTGTTTTCATTAAAATAGGATTCCTTTTCTTCCTCTTCATCCTCATTGATTGATTTTATGGATGACGTAAGTCTTTGGCTTTCAAACCAGTAAATCCCTCAATAAAAGAGATCAGTTCATTGATTTGGGCTATTCAAAGAGTAATGCAGTCAACTTAAAAATTCTGTAAGTGCAGTGAAGAACAGAATATATCTGTAACAGCATATTTATATCTATCTGTATAGATAGATGTGCAATTTTGAAATAAATGTCTTTCTTTTGGTGGAGATGAAGAATTCTTAATTGCAAAAGATTTTCCCTAATGTGGAGAAGCTGATTTGGGGCCTTGTCTACAGATGCGGCTGCTAGAAAAGGGTTGTAAAATCACCGGCAAGTTTATTTCATTTATTCTGTTGCTTTCATGTTACTACTTCAGTCGCTACTTCATTAGTTGTTTCCAGAAGTTTTCTGGTCACTTCAGTTGAAGTGTTTTCTTTGCATACAGTTAATTTCTGTTTGCTCAAATAAAATATTGTGGGTTTTTTTTTAAATATATATCATATGTATCATTGTAATCTCAATTATAACTGAAGTGACCTTTGTCATCTTTTTTATTGCCATTTGAGACACTAATTTTTAATAAAGATGGTGCTGAAATATTTGCCTGGTTAATTGCATACTAAGGGAATTATGTTAAAAGCTGTAAATTGACTGCATTATATTTATTCTAGACCCATGTAGTACACACATAACCGTAAATAATTATGAACATTTTTAAATCCATACTATGCATCCTTCGTAGAGAACTGTCCATTACAACTCTCTGTGTGTATTGTGTGTGTATGTCTGTGTGTTTGTATATATGTGTATACATATACGCACATGTCTATACATACGCATTTAGTAGTAGAGTACGGTCCCAGTTGTATTAAAATGCAGAATAATTAATTTTACTGAAGAAATTTCTGTTGTGAATGATGTAATAAAGCGGGTGTAGTGTATGGGCTGTAGAGTACGGTTTTCTGTCTTAACTTACTAATAAATAAATAAATAATATTTATATTCCTTACTTGGATTAAAGAAGGGTCTACATTGCCAGAATATTGTGAACAGTTGGTTCGGATCAGCAGGTGCTTTCATATAAAGTTACTTTTAGAAATATGTGTTACTCTCTCCCAAGACCTGTTAAATAGTAATAAATGACATATGTGGGAGAGTAAGTGATCATTTTCTGTTTTGCAAGGGTAAACTTGGGATAAGAAAGTTTTCCTGTTTGCTGTCTAATTAGTTTTGAAGGGCATGAGTAAATACAGAATAAAGCACTGCTTTTTTTCCTTTTTTCTTTAAGAAGGCAGCATGTTTTTTCACAGACATTTTGACAGCATCCCATTCATTACCTACGCAAGTGAAAAATTCTCCACGACTGGGGTACCTCCTTTAAGACATTCTTCTAGATTTGTCCACCCAGATCAAATCTTTTCAAATACCTGTCTTTCAATCTTTGATAAAATTCCGGATACTAACGTGTATGTTGTTGCATGTGGATAGCTTATACACGCAGAATCAGACTTCAGTTATTACATCTTCAAATCGAGCCCAACAGGACGACTTTTCTTCCCCTCAGTTTCATTGGACAAGAGCGTGTTTCCGGACTGGACTGGTAGGGGCTAACCTCCATCCCACAGAGACACACTGCATAAAGAAAAGAGATGAAAGATAGGAAGAGTACCTTACAGACAAATAACTGACTTGTTTAGTTGCTTTTGTTTTATTAGAAAGAAAATTAAAGCTGATGTCCCCATTTGGAGGTGGAAGGAGGTATATAATTAAATTTTTGCTCCGTCAGTTCTGCATCGTTCATCGATTAGACCATTATTTGATTCATTCATAGTTCCATGATACACAGCCTCTGAATGGTTATTTTTTAATGATTACCAGGTTTAATGGTTATTTATGCTTTAGCTCATTAAGAGGGTTCAATGTGGGTGTATTATGCAGAATTTAAAAGAAACTAAGGGTCTTTAATAAAGCAAACCACCCTCCCTACTGGGTGTGACCTCCGTCCTCCATTCAGTGTCTCTTTTTGGCAGTAGTTACCTTGAAGGGCAAGGTTTCTTGTAACAGCTCGATGAGAACTGGGTCTGTGCTCTGTCAAGCCTGAGAAGTGTGAGTGTCCTGTACGTTACGAGCAAGGAAGAATTAGGGGTCCTCAGGCTCATGAAACGCTGCAATACGGCAGGGGTTTCAGGAAGGGGCCTCTCCAGGAATCATGAGCCCAAAGTAAATATTCCTCATGTCCTCTGTGGTTTCTCCAGCCTCTCTACTCAATCCTGAAGACGCAGAAGGAGTCTCAAATAAGATGCAGTGCTCTTACGTAGCACTGTTTGCAAGGTTTCTGAAGTCTAGGTCGCATAGACACGTAAGCAGCGCTGAGTTTGGCCCGCTAATAACATTTGAAGTTTATTAGGGTGGGTAATGCCTTCTGTGTCTGCCATCCAAATAGCATAGTTGTCTATAGCACGCTGAGAGTTATTGCAGTTAACTCTAACTGTATCAACGAGGAAATGGTAATTTCACAACTCCTTCTGAAGAGAAATGAAAGTAGACACATCCAGCTGCCTCTGATGGTAGCCTGCGGATGCTGAGCAAGAGCAGTAGTGGCTCACTGTGTGGATGGCCAACAGCTGCTTTTGGTTCCTGCGGTCCCTCCTCATGTCCTCAACATGGGGGATATCCTTGGTCAGGTTAGCAGAACTGATGCCTAAATTCTCCTAGCTGGGGAAAGGCCGTGTGCCCAGGAACGATCTCCTGTGCACGCAGGAAGGCGCAAAAAGGCTCAGGAGTCAGTTGTGCTGCCCCTTGTTTCTGGTTTTGATGAGGAGGGAGGATACCCCCGATAACTCTAACGTATTCAGTTCTAAATCTTCCCAGCTGTTTCTCCTGTGTTTTTCAGGCCGTCTCTTGGTAACATCGTTTAGGTGTTAAGTCTCTTATGTCCACTAGGAAACGTCTTATAATAGAAGTTTGGGGTTTTTTTTTGCAAGGCTTAGCCTCTCTAGCTGTTAGAAACAATCAACTTGTTTTATTTAAAATTGATTTTATGATTATTTAATAACAATAAAATGGAATGCTGTATGCCGCTGACAAAATCATTTTTCCCAGTTGTTAGAAAAGATTATTTTCCTCCTGTTACCAACACAGTATGCATTAAAAATAGCTTTCTGAAATCCTCCTGCGCCTCTGCTCGAACGCACAATCGCCATGGACTTTGGTTAGACTTAAGAGATCTGAACTTTGTAAATAACCGCAGAATAAATCACGTTCTGAATTCTCGCTATTGAACACTGAACGGAATACTTAGAGTAGTCTGTGGTGAGAGCCCTGACTGCGCTTGTGCATCCATAATTCTTTAAGCTTAGAATGATTCTAGTTCTTAACGTTCTTTTAAATGGACGTTTCTTGCCTCCCGTTGCCTCAGAATATGTTGTTTTCAAGAGACGTTTAAAAATGAACATATACGTGTGTGTCTACAGTGCCACATCTGGAAATACAGAGTGACGAATCCTGAGCGGATGTGTGTGTTGGTCTGTTTGGTTTTGTAACGTATTCTCCTCCTTTCTCTGTTAAAGCGCTCTCCTTCCCGTATTCCAGCCAACCAAGGCAGACGTGTAAGAGGCTGTCTTACTCTCTCTGGCCCTGTATTTTTGCCTGTCATGTACATGCGTTTGTTTACTGTATGGATTGTGTATTTACCTCGCTGCATGTCTTGTGCTGCTGCTGCTGTTTGCTGCTGCTGCTGTGCTTTTTGTTGTTTTACAGCTGTGGGCTGGAAGCTTTAGGAACATTGGATTTGGTAACACTGCTGCGAGCAGAATATGCCAGTAACTAGAGCTGGAGCTTTGGGGACTTCTTCAGTTCAGTATGAAGTTCCTTGTGCAAAGTGCTCGGGGGAGACAGGTTGGGAAGATGAGCGGGCTTCAGAGGAGGACCCGTTCGTTTCCTCCCATGCCCTTGGGGAAGGGCACGTGTCAGGGTTGCAGCGATTGCCCGTGCCAGGTGGACGTTTGGCGTTCAGGGGGCATAACGCAGCAAGTGAGGGAAAGTATCTCAGCAGAAGATAGGTAAACGGGAAGTGGGAAACTATAGTAAACTGGAACACCCAAGAGGGCGGGGAGTATTGATGGGAGGAAAACAGGCTTTGATGTGTCACAGCGTATTAAGCTCTTGGTTTTTTAAGAACTCAGGTGGATTTCTAAACACAATGTTAAGAAAGCTTCATCAGACGGGATATGTTGTGTCCGTCTTGAACTCATACTCCTCTTATCTTGAACTCCCTTCTTTTACTGCTTGTGTATGCATATGATAATAGGAATAGGAAGGCATAAAAAAAAGTGAATATTCAGTAAATGAACAATAATATCAACTGCCGTAATAACGACATTACCTATGCAGTTAAAAGCACAAATAACTATCTTCTCAGGCAAGCTTACCGTGACTCCTTATTTTTGACCACTGTGGCTCCAAATTGAGAAGTTCACCTCTCCTCCAGATGTGTGTAAGCACTGGCGAGCTGGGGCTCAGTCCTACACAGGTGACCTTGTGTAGACCGCGAAGCAGGTAGTCCTGTGTAGACCAACACCCAGTTAGCCCTGTGAAAGACAGCAAAGCTATTACAATTCAGTAGCAAACGTGCTTTTCATAATCCAGTAGGTTAGTTTAGAACTAATTGTCACGGTGTTAATATGGTCCACTTAAGCTTTTGGCCGTAGTGGAGTTAGCTTGCTTTTGCACTTAATTCTTCTCATTGAAGTAAGGAACCTGAAGAGTTACTGCAGTAATACAGCTTAAGGCCCTGCTTCTGCACTACAGCTGGTTAAATTCCCCTCAAATTCTGTAACAGTCGATCAGATTCTGTGTGTTTTGAGGGCTTTTGAGGTACATAAGCAAAGTAAAACTACATTTTTTACTAGTTCAGCAGTTGCCTTCTAACCACAAAAGCTTTGTAGCACATTCCAGGAAAGTTCTATCGTTTATATTATCCTCGGACTAAATTTTTTACGAGACGCCATGAAAGTGTTCTTTGGTATGCAGATGCCACTTTGAAAGGGAAAGCGTTCTGCATATCTGTCTGGAAACATTTATGAAATGATAGGTTAGATGTCTGAATTTAACTTGCACAAGAAAAGGAACGTCTGTTTCTTGCTGTGAAAAATTCTCCTGCAGTTTACTCATTGGGCTTATTTTTCCTAATATCAGCATCAAAAAGACGTTTGAATTTTTTCAAGGTTAAACAGTCTTGGAGTGGGCTCCAAGTTACCGCATGTTTAGATTTGGGTTGAAAAGAAGTTTAAAATAATTGAAACAGTCATATATCTGAGGATTTATTACTGAAAGGCATCAATGTTTCTAATACTGGATAAAGCTTCCAATTATAATTTGCTTCTGATAAGTCTGAGCACAGAATGTTTGCTTTACTGCTAATTTTTGCCACAATGCTTGAAATACGTGATATACGTGTAGAAAACAGGTGTATCCCCTTGTGAGAATTTCTGTTTTCATTACAGAAAGAGGATGAAGGCATCCTAACATGCCTGAGCTGATTAAACTGATGAGCTTCATCTCTGCTAGTTGATTTTTTTGAAGGCTGTGGTAGAACTAGAAGCCTTCAAACTTAACTCGCTACTCGTTTAAAAAAAAAAAATAAAAAATTGCACCTGCACCTGTTCACTACCATGACTGACTTTTTAGAGAACAGGACTGTATATGCATGAATAGGATTGTCTGGGAAATAGATTTTTATTCTCTTAAAAGCAGTAATGTTTGTGGAATTCTTAGTGTGGTGTCAATGGCAAATGAGGAAAAAATCATTGTAATGTTCAAATATTTTCTGTAAAGGTTGCTGCATATTTTATTTTGTGGAATACCACGGTAGCCGAATCCTTAGCAATGGGACAAACATTGATAACGTTTCTGCAGAAAAGATGGACGTGCAATAGGGCCTCCTTTAGGCCCCCAGCTTTTGGTTTTGTTATTTGCGGAGAAAAGTATCCTCAGCTCACTTTAAGAAGATTTTTTTTTAAATCCGAACTAACATAGAAAATGTAGACTTGTAGATGACTTGTAGAAGTCTTCTCCTTTCTCTCATTTTCAGCTGCATTGACAAAGATTCATCCAAGATGGCTTGTTATCCAAAATATACAATCATACCAACATGCCCTGTTGTTCATTATCGTCCGATGTTTGACTTAGTTTTGTTGTATAACAAGGACCAAGAAAAAAGCCCCCTGAATAAACTGTATTCTAATAAAGTTGGGTTCCCTTTTTGTAGTTGAAATGGTGTGCAAAAAATCAACTCTCTGGGTATATTATTAACACTAACCTAAGGAAATACAATGGTTACTTTGCTTTTTCCTCCTTGTTTTCTCCTAAATGTGTTGGTAATGATTTAGGTATTTGGGAGTTCATTCCTAACAAATCTCTACTGCAGGTGGACAGAACAGTAGTGCTTAGAAAATATTCAGTCTTTAAAATTCTCTTCGAGCACTCATCAGGCCCCTGAACTAGCAGCTGGTATGCATGTGCTCAGCTCTCAGCAGAAGTCTTGACGTGTTCATATTCAAGAATTTTCCTTTAGTTTTTGTAGCTTAATCAGGGAATCACTTAAAACAGAATTGTTTCTCTCGGTTCTCTTTTTAGGAATTTTACAGCTTCCATATTTTATTTTGGTGAAAGTCAGGAATTCTTTTTTTTTTTTTTTTTTTTAAAGAATGTCGTTGATTTATTTGTTTGTGGTTTTTTGTGTTTTCCTCTTGAATTGTTTCCATAGATCGATTCAGTTGAGAACTTTACGTTGTCTAATACGCCATCACGGGATGAAGATATCAAGTCTCACCTCCATTCAAGATCAAGGTCTCCTTCTACAGCTAGTGAGATTGAACCGATTGAGGTACTCGATGTCGACAAATTTTACTTTTTTTTTTTTTCTTTTTTGTAAGGAGTAGCAGTTTGAATCTCATAAAAATTACTGTTGCAAATCCTTTTGTTCAGATTGAAACTCGTTCCTTTGCAGGGACAATTTAGGACATTGTAAATAGCCCACTGCACTACTGGTGAACTGTATGTTGGAGAACACTAAATTTCCTTTCAAATACAGTTAGTTGATTCGGACTGGGGAATATATGTGGAATCGCTTATTAGATACGGTCTCTCCTCCTAACTTTTCTTAAATAATCATGACTAAGGATATGTTTGCAAAAAGTCAATGTTATACTGTAGTTTGGTGTAACAGCACATTTCAGAGCGCTGTTGAAGATATAGTCAATGCAAAATATTAACAAGGCTCTGCGACTGTAATAATATATCCCCTTTCCATTAAAATAATTTAACCTCCTGATTATATGGGAAAAGGTTCAGTCAAGTGTTGCAGATAATACAGAACTCTTTTTGTCGTGTAAGAAATTAATCTTATACACCGTTTTGCTGAGAAGTAAGATCTGTTTTCTTGAGTCCCTGCCTGTGTTAATCAATGTGGTTTCGTTCCTTGTCTGCCTAGGAGGTGTGCGGGGGGGCAGGTTATAGTGTTTTCGTTTTACTCGAGCTGTCTTTGATAATGCGTATTTGAACCTTTGGGGGCTTTGTTCAGGTTACAGATCATCCTCCCCGTTCAATTCACACACCAACCATGAGGACAGCCTATATTGGATCGGGACTCTCTGCACCAAAGGTACTCAGTCAAGCGTTCACGTGGTCTGTACAGTAAGGGGGAAAAATACCACTCCTGGGCAACAGCTTCGGGAGAACTGTCAGAATAATCTTACTAGAGCTGCTTGGAAGAGTTATTTTAAATGAATGCTGATTGCTGTTGATGATGCTGATTCTGGTGCAGAATGCTGTTGCATTCTTGTGCTCTGCAGCGCGACAGGTTGGACTAAGCATGCCAGTGCCTAGGAAAAACATAAGTGGACGTTAGAAGGAAATGTTCGTACTGGAACGTACTGAAAGGAAAAGAGACTTCCTAGGAAGAGGCCGTTTTTCAGCGTCTGGCTGAGCAAGCTGCCTCTGTGCTCTGCATGTAATAAAATTGATGTCTCGGATTAGCACAGATGATTATTTTGAGAAAAGGAAAACAGTGAGCCTATGGAGAGTGAGCGCTACGGCTCTGGGTTGGGAAAAGGAAATCCAGTTTTTCCATCTTTCTGCTTTTTGCTTGCCTAAATACTTATTTTACATCAGCTGTTGAAATTAAGTTGCCACTGGCAGAATGAGGCAGTGTACACGAATTCATAGAGGAATTGCATATAGTCAAATAAATGAGGAACAGGATACAAGCTCTTAAAGGAAAAATTTTCTCATAAAAGTTTCCGAAGTATCTCAGTGGCTTAGGAATATAAAAAACAGTGTTTTTGCAATTAATCAGGTAAGCCTTTGAAATAGATCTGTTTCACGACTTTGATAAATGACAAAGTAGCAGAAGACTTTTTTCATTTGTGTAAAGAAAAGCTAAGAAAGTTGTTTCTGCAGGCAATGTCTTGTGTCGGCAATATTTTTGGCAATATTTTTAATAGATCAATTAAAAATTATCGTATGTATTTGCACTTGAAATCATGTGAAATAGTTTGTACTGTGCACGTTATTCCATTTCTGCAAGCATTTTGCCAAAACACTGCATAATGATTGGTCTTCTAATTTATTATGTTTCCTAAGGAGCCTTCTTTTAGGATTGCGTTAGTTTTTGAAGCTACGTTTTGTTCCTCTGCAGTTTCAAAATAAGCCTTCTATCTGTAGACAGAAAGCTCCTAGAGTAACAGTAAAACTGTCATTAAATATGGATGAAGTTTGAGCCCTTAAGTGTGATATCTTATGCTCTGAAAAACCGGAAAGTGAATAAAATTTTAATATTCGTAGCCATTGAAGTAGCCTGCAGAAGTTGTCTTATTTCAGATCACGTACGTTATTCTTATAGATTATAGTCTGTGTTCCCAGGAACTAAGGAGAAGTCCCTTCAAAATCCGTGTCATCTGTACTCTTGCTTTTAAATTGTGTATTCTGAAATTGCCTCTGCCTGACACCGTAAAACTGGACTCTGTCATTCTTTCTGGCATAAAAGTTAGAATTTAGAAAAAGTATGATGCTTTGCTTTCAGCTAAGGCAACCCTCCTTGCAGCTAAGCATTTGAATGTGCCTCTTGGAAAACACATACACCCATCTATTCAGCTTCTGGAGTGTAACGGGATAATTTGTAGACAGACCTTGGCAATTTTCCTATCTGTGATGGAAGTGACTTCAGGTACCGAGGCAAGGTCCAGTTTCCATGGTTTAGTTTACAGGGGATGGTGTAAGCTATCAATCACAAGCACTGATAAAGAATGTTTTCAGCCCATATGCCAGGAACTCAGGTTTCGTTTCAGCAAACACAAGTAAGTTACGTTTGTAAATACACCTATACACTTTTATGTCTGTGAAAAAATAACTGTTCTTCTCCAAAAGCGTTGTGTTAACATCCTTGTCTGTTTGTTTCACAGCCTAAAGCCCACCAGTTTGTAGTGAAATCATTTAATACCCCAACAAAATGCAATCAATGCACGTCGCTGATGGTTGGTTTAATAAGACAGGGCTGCACTTGTGAAGGTAAGTATGAGTAAAAGAAATGGGAATTGAAGTTTTTGTAGATGCAAGTTGCATAGTAAATGTTAGGGTGCAGTAGTGCAGGAGTCTTTTATGTTTACAGTTTGCATAACAGAATGTATTCTCATGCTGCAGTCTTTCGACATTGAAAGCCAAGCATTTTGAGTAACTTACGTAACGGGTTACCCAGTTAACCGGGGGCACGTTTATTCTGGTTGCTGGCAATAAGCTTAGTTTAGATTTTTTTTTTTTTTTTTTTTTAAATTTAAAACAGCAGTAAGGGGCAACGGTCAGTGGGTCAAGTGTGCTGACAGTAGTTTTGCTTTATGACTAAGAGCAAAACGCAAGACAGCTTTGTTACTCGGTACCAAATTTTCTCTCTTCCGGGAGGGATTTACTCTAGGTTTGTACAGGCACAGGGTAATGCATGTCATTTAGAGGAGTTACCAGTGGCCTAGAAAAAAACGATACACCAATTATTCCAATTTGAGCTTCTCATTAGGCTCTTTCTTACCTGAATGAAATCGAACTGTGTATCCATACAGCTCTGAGAGTGGGAAAATCTGAAGTTAGATCAGTTCAAATCATGTGCTGCTACTGTATGTGAGCTTACCTTTCTGCCTTGGTGTAGCAAAGTTCAGTGAAACTATTCAGTTATTGGTGGTCAACTGTACGCACTTCAAAAAAAAAAAAAAAAAAAGAAAAAGACGACCACTTTATGTTATCACTCATCATTGTCATAGCTTTTGCACTGCAAAAGAAATAATCATCGAATTGTTTTGTTTCTCCTCCTTCTTACAAGTATGTGGATTCTCCTGCCACGTGACCTGTGCAGACAAGGCCCCTGCAGTATGTCCGATCCCTCCCGAGCAGACTAAGGGTCCCTTGGGGATAGATCCGCAGAAAGGCATAGGAACAGCGTATGAAGGGCATGTCCGTGTAAGTATCAGGTGCTGCCTTTGGACACTTATGTTAAAGTTATCATTTTCTTCACTT